CTACCACCGGCGGCGCGACACGCTAAGCAAGCGTTTCTGTCCGTAAGCAGGGAGGGTAGAGGATGAAAGACATAATAATGGAGCTGGATTACTCCTCTGAGGGAACCGCACGGTGGAGCTTATTCGGCGTCCGACCACCTCGGGTATCATCGAGCGGAAATAGCGCACCGGCAACAATGGCGAGTACTTCTTGAAATCCACGATGTAGACGTCCTCCTGCCTCAACTCGGCCAACGTGTCTCTGTCGACCTGACGGTGAAGAGGTTTTCGGGATGAAGACGTGAAGCGAGGCAGAGAATAAAGGAATATGCAACGTGGGGGGCCAGCAGAGAAGAAAGGCATCACATTCAGACTTCCTCGGACGGAGGCAAGACGTCCTTGCCGTCCTCGGGATCGGGATCAACAAATGTGAGCATTCCATAAGAGTCAATATTGCAGCTCGTAGCTAAGTCACAAGACCGCTCGCCGCTTGGGCCTCACCGCCAGACCGAATGGCGAGCATACATCGGGCGTGGCCCTGCAGAACCTGCCAAGGGTGTGCGCCACCATGTGGCGCCCGCTGGGTTCCGCCATCGATGGACTGCGACACGACTTGCACCATCCTTGGGCTGCGCCATAGTTTGCGCGATCCATGGGTTGCGCCATCCACGGGTTCCCCCACTCCATCCATTGGCTGCGCCTCTGTTGGTTTTGGACTTGGCGGCCGAGAATCCCATCAGCCCTTCAGGGCCTGTGGTATAGAAAGTTTCCTCTTCCAATCCCCTTCTTCCCCTTCGGGGAGAAGTTTACCCCTCCCCCTTCCCCCCTCCCCCTGCGTCTGGACGGGGCCTTTCGCGAGGTGCAAGAGCGTTTTTTGGGGCCTCGGTGAGAAGGCCAACATTATTGATTGTACTAAGGCTTTGGCCATAGTTTGGCCTCCTGTGGGGGCGCCGCTGCTTGAGTACGGCTCCTCCTTTGATCGATCTCCTCCAAGATGGCCCGCCAGGCTTCCGAAAGAGCCCCACAAGGTGCCCAGGAAGCCCCAAGAGGCCGCCAAGGCGCCCACAAGAGGTTCCCAAGAGACCCCCAAGAGGCCCCGAGAGGCATCCAGCTCGCCCCAAGAGGCCTCGGCGAGAAGGTCAGCATCATTTTCTTTCCAAGTTTGTAGCACATTTTGGCCTCCTAGAGGTTGGGCCTGACTTTGGCCCAACGTTTGGCCGCATGGGCGTTTCCAGAAGACATGGGGGTGGTGGTGGTTCGTCGTAGGCGCCTTCGATGTGTGAATTTGTAGTGATCCGTGAGAGGCCTGCACCTGTCGCGCACAGTCGCGGACCTGATGCATGTCTGTGTCTTCTTGTCTGAAGGGGCCCAAGGACACACAAACAAATAGACACAAATCCCAGGATTCCCCACCTTTTCCGATATTTTCTGGATGTTCGTCTTCCCCCCCACTTTCCATTTGTTCTCATGTTTCCTGGGGTTCGATGGTTAATTGTGTCTGTGTGCTTCTTTCCCTTCTGATTCTTGTCGTGCACCCATAATGACTCAGTGCCTCGCCCGCCCATGAACCGACAGAGCCTGTCTCTAGAAGTCTCTGGGGGCCCCCCTGGAGGCATTCAGAGGTTCAAGAAGGGCCAGTTGCATCCAGAGCTTAGATCCCCGATCCTCTTCGGCCTCCTCCTCCTCCGCCTCCTCGTCCTCCTCCTTCTCCGAGGTGGCCCGATTGGAAACCCTTACCTGCCCTGTGCGATGATGCCGCTCCTGATCCATTGGCTCTCCGACCCTCGGCTGCTGTGGGACCACGTGGGGAGGGAGCAGTAACGGGGATGAGCAGCAGCAGCTGGAGCCTCTTGAACTCCCCCCCCCCAGGAAGAGGTACACAGTCAGCGTGCTACCCGAGGAACGCAGGGGCCTTGCTGCTGTGGGACCACGCGGGGGGGGGGGGGGGGGAGCAGTAACGGGGATGAACAGCAGCTGCTGGAGCCTCTTGACCTCCACCCCCCCCAGGAAGAGGTACACAGTCTTTTTTGATCCGCGGGTCGAGAGCGCACCTCTTCCGGCCGAAGCTGAGCGGGCCGCGCGAAGCTCGAATCAGGCAGAGAAGAGGAGGGAGGAAACGCGGCGGAGCCTCCGAGCGAGGCCGAGAGGAAGCGTAGCCTCGGATGCAGGCGGTGCACGGGATCGCCCCACCCGAGGAGCGCAGGGGCTGCTCGGGCGAGCGCGAGCCCGGGCCACGAGCAGGCTCCCGGACCCGGATTTCGCTCGGGCATGGCCCCCCCGCAGGGGGAGCTTCGCCGAAGCGATGCAAAAAGTAAGACAGGACCCCAAACCGATCAAAACATGCAAAACAATCGTACCAATACTGTCTTTTGGGGCTTGAAAAAAACAAGCATTCGTCCCAATACTTTTTTTGGTTGAACTACTTTTGAATCTTCCCCCTGTAGAGGGACAGGCCCGACGTAAACCTGGACCTGAGGAACGGCCCGAAACCCCAGCTCCTCCTGCGCCGAAGCCGGTTCCGTTTTCAGCGCCTCGACCGCGGCCTCCCGTGCGGCACCGCCCTGCTCTGAAGCCCGCCGGCGTGCCGCCCCCCGAAGGGCGGCACGCGGAGCGGAGGGCGCGTCGCAGCGGACGCCCCAGAAGCACTCGGAGTGCCGACGGCGTGCCGCACCCAGTCGGCTCGGGCGAAAGGGGGGTATAGCAAAGGGGGGGTTTGAGAATCAGCTCACGTAGCTGATTTTACCGGCGCCTCCCGGCGCTGGAGGCGGCCGTGTATCGAGGAACGGGCCCCTCGGTGAGGCCGAAACCAACTGCATGCAGCAAATTTCGTAATCCCCCCTTTCCCAATCCCCCCTTTCGCCCGGCCCGACCCAGCGTGTGCCAGCCCTGGTGGTGCGACACGCCGAGCAGCAGCCCTGACGCAGAGGAGGAGCAAGACACAGAAGCAGAACCTTTCGACGGTCCGCGGGGCTTTCTTGGATTTGCACTGGGCCCTTCCCCCCTGGCGCGCGGAGCGCGCCAGGGGCGGCGCCAGGGGCGGCGCCAGGGGCGGCGCCAGGGGCGGCGCCAGGGGCGGCGCCGCCAGGGGGCCCCAGCGCAGATCCAAGAAATCCGCGCGGAGCGTCAAAAGATTATGGCTATGCGCTTCTCGTTTTCGGTTACAGGAGTCCTCTCTGGAAGAGCTACGAATAGCTTTCTGTAAGAACCCCCTTCTGGGGGAGGAGCAGGGGAAAGAGGATGCCGGAGGCCTGGAGCTGGCGACACGTGTTCGGAGTCCCCGCGCCCTCTCCTGGCCTGTCGGGCTTCCTGATGTCCTCCCGCTCCCGCTGTCACGCGTCCTCTGTGTGGCAGACAGCGCGCGACAACATGCAGATTGCCGTCAAGAGTCTGTGGCCACGCGTGCCGTCCCTGCAACCTTCCCTGGCGCCCCTGGCGGCCCCAGGGCTTCTGCGGTTCCCTTTGGGGCCCTCGCGGCATCATACATCTCGGTGGGGCACCTGCTGGCAGGGCTGGCCTTTTACATTCGGGGAGACGTAAGACTCGGGTACGGGGGACTCGGGTTGGCCTGACGGGGCCATCGTACAAATGACGAGATCCAATCTAACATTTGACGCGAGCTCCCGCTGCAAACATCCCACGAAAATACTGGACCGTCAAAAGCCAGGACGCGCTCGTCAACAAACACGCCTGTAAATCCAAGGTCTGGCTTACTCGAGTTTTACGTTTCCCCGATGCATGATGTGCCTGTGGGACCTTGCATGCTCCACTGGGCGGTGGCTTCTGGCCCCGGCGCCGCCTTGATGGGCTGGTGGTCCTCGCCTGGCACGAAGTAGTTGGCAGCGTCCAACATCTTCTGCACGAACAGGTCCGTGGTGCCGTCGTCCTCCCGCCCCCCTCGCCTCCAGTTCGGCTTCGTCCTGCCCTGTGTCTTTCCCTTCGTGCCATATGTTCTGCTGCGCCTCCATATCTCTGCACTGCTTTTCTTTCCCCCGGCATCCTGTGGAAATGGGCCCTCGCTCTGAATACGCAGCGTCGCGCCCAAACTTCTCACTTCCTCCCTCCTCCTCCTCCTCCTCCTCCTCCTCCTCCTCCTCCTTCCGCTCCTGTCCGCATTCTCATTCTAGCGCGCTGCTTCACACGTTTCGGGCCGCCTATGGAGCTCCACCTGCGGCCTCAGTGCGGGCGCCCATATATGGCGCGACCACCTCGTTCCGTTCGGCAGTCCGCTCACACGTATCGTGGCCCCATACGGAGCTCCACCTGCGGCCCTCATGTCGGCATGCCGCTCACACGTGTGCCGTGGCCCGATTGGGAGCTCCACCCACGGTCTCAGTTAGAGGGCGCCCGTGCAGCGTGACCGCCGTGGACCATTTTTTCTTTGCTTCGTGGCACGTTCCGTGGCAGCATCTGGATCTCCACCTGCGGCCCCAATGAGGGCGCCCGTGTGGCGTGACCGCCGTGGACCACTTTTTCTTCGCTTCGTGGCACGCTTCGTGGCAGCATCTGGAGCTCCACCTGCGGCCCCAACGAGGGCGCCCGTGTGGCGTGGCCGCCTCATCGTGGTGCGCACCATCACACGTCTCGTTGGCCCGCAGGGAGTTCCAGCCGCGGCCCCACTGAAGTCGTGAGTGGGACGGCGGCGCCTCGTTCCGCGAGGCCCCTCTCGCGTTCCGTGGCCCCGTAGGGAAGCCGACTTACAAGGGGTGCGACTGCAGGGCTGCGCCTCGCCCGGGTCGGCACGCACACACACCACACACACACACACGTACACACACACACCCACACCCACACCCACACCCACATACACGCACACACACACACACGCACACACGCACACACGCACACACGCACATACACGCACGCACGCACGCACGCACGCACGCACGCACGCACGCACGCGCGAACGCACGCGCGCACGCACGCACGCGCGGGCGCGCACGCGAACGCACGCGCGCACGCACGCACGCGCGGGCGCGCACGCGCGGGCGCACACCGGCGCACACCGGCGCACACTGGCGCACCCCCGCGCACCCCCGCGCACCCCCGCGCACACCCGCGCACCCCCGCGCACACCCGTGCAAACCCGCGCACACCCGCGCCAGCACACACACGCACACACACACACACACGCACACACACACACGCACGCACGCACGCACATGCACACACACACGCGCACACAGACACACAGACACACACACACACACAGACACGGACACACACAGACACACACACACACAGACAAACACAGACACACACAGACACAGACGCACACAGACGCACACAGACACACGCAGATACACACAGACACACATAGACACACACAGACACACATATAGACACACACACTGACACAGAGACACAGACACAGAGACACAGAGACACAAACACACACAGACACACGGACACACAACACACAGACACACACAGACACACACAGACACACACAGACACAGACAGACACACACACAGACACACACAGACACACACAGACACAGACAGACACAGACACACAGACACACAGACACACAGACACACAGACACACAGACACACAACACACAACACACACAACACACACACACACCACAGTCACACACCCCTCAGGGGGTCGGCGAGGATGAGCAGCAGCAGCAGGAGGAAGACACGAATAGGTGAGTCGCTGGATATGGAATCGGGCGGGCGACGTTGTCTCCCGTTGTCTCTCATTGTCTCCCGTTCTCCCATGAAGTCCCGCTGCCTCCCGTGGCCTCCCGTTGCCGTCCCGATCCCTATCTGTATCCCTATCCAGTTCCCCCCTGTCCCAATCCGTATCCCTCTACCCCTCTATCCCTCCATCCCTTTTGTCTATCATGTTGTCCCTGTCTCTGTGTTCGTCGCGATCCCCACATCCCCGGATCCCCTAAATCCCCCAACCCCGAAACTCCCTGTGTCCCAAGCCCCTATCCCTAAGTCCTACCCCAATCCCGATGCCCCCCATCATGCCCCCCCCCCTATCGTGGACTTCGCGCTCGAGACCCTCCACCGTGGGCCCCTCGTAGAAGGTGCAAAGCTGTTCAGGGCCCTCCGCCGCAGGGGTGCCATTTTTGTGCAGTTCTTTCCTCTTTTCAGAGGAGGAGGAGGAGGAGGAGGAGGAGGAGGAGGAGGAGGAGCTGGAGGGGGAGGAGGAGGAGCATCAGCAGGAGCAGGAGCAGCCACAGCTGTCCCCCATCTCCTGCTGCGGTGCGGCGGGGGGGGAGGGGGATGTCGCAGCGGTACTGGTCGCCCCTTCCTTTCACTTCTCCTAAGACCAAGGCAAGATGAAGACACTTTCGGATGGAGGTAGCTCGGGAACATTTGAACGCTGGCGGGTCTGGAGTGTAATACAGTAATGCCAGACGCTGCGGCCGTCTAAGAGCGCGCTGGAACGCTCTGGGAGAGCTGCATACAGAGATCTCCAGAGCGGCACCTCTTCATCCCAGGTCTGCCTGACCTCCCCCCCTCCTCCTCGAGGTGCCCGGGCGTCCCACCACACTCTTGTCAAGAACCTCGTCTGGCCTGCCGCCGCAGCCGCGCAGGCTCGCTGGCACCCCTCCAGCCCCCGCCTCCCCGACACGTCTGAGACAGGGCAGGGCCCAGAGATCCGACGTCCTCCCCCAAGCAGTGCTTGCACGACAGGGGTTCTTGCTCAGGTCACGCAGGGGGCCCGAGTGGGTACAGTGGAGGCCCGAGCACAAGAAACCTTCGACGAGAAGCCGAACCCCGCGACCCCAGGACGTCCATCGGTGTTTGGTGTGGGAGCGTCACGCTTTCCACAGCAAGTGCATCGAAAAACCCAAGAAGCCCAGGGCACCCTGGAGGCAAGCAGGGCTTCCTGGCATGGGTCTCCAGTGTCGCCCTGGCCGCCCCCTCGCTGGGGGGGGTGGTATGCGGAGGCCTCGCCCGGTGCCCGCACGCGGACACCGCATGGCTGGCACCGATGAGCTCACACCGCGCACGTGGCACCGCGCGGCCCTCGACACGCGGTGCACACGACACGGCTTGCAAGCCCGCCTCACGCCGCGCAGCTCACACCACATGGCTCACGCAACACAGCCTGAACCACAGCGCGTGACAGCTCAAACACAACATAGCTTGTTCAGCATATCTCACACCGCACAGCTTACGCCTCGTAGGCTTCGTCGCCACAGTGCAACCACCTACTGCCTGGGGTACACACTGGCTACACATGCTGTTTCAGTGGTTGTTGTGGTCGTTGCTATTTTGCTTTTCTGTTTTAACTACGTAGGCCGCGAGCAAGATGTGGACACATCTGGACAACGATATATCAGGAACCTCTGAGCAGGCGGGTCTGCAGGATATATCGGGCGTCGCGGCCCTAGCGGAGCGCTCCAGAGCGCTCTCAGAGCGTTCCGGACCATCCTGGAGCGATTTTTATCCCCATCGTAGGTCTCCTTGGCTAGGGGCGGCTATTCATTCCGAGTCGTCGTTTGACGGTCCTTGGGCCTGGTGAGGGCCCCCAGAGGCCGACAGCTGGCGAAGCCTCCGCCCCGACTTTTCCAAGACGTTGGATGTCTGCGTGTCCAGCACCGGCCCAAGACATCTGCGCGGACCTCCGCACGGGAACGACTGTTGCTTAGCGTGTCGCGGCGGCGGCCCTTGCGACACGCTATGCCTTGCTGACTGATGGCGTGTCGCTCGGTTTCGTGGCGCGGTGGGGAAAGAAAAAACTCGGGACGTTGATGGTTGGGACACGGTGATGTGCTCAGCGTGTCGCGTCGAAGCGCGGTGGGCCAGAACTGGCGGCGCGATACGCTACGCCGAAGCTCTCGACCGTAGAGGAGCAACAACAACGGCATAGACACAAACTTTCGGAGGCTCGCGCGGATTTCTTGGATCTACGCAGGACCCCGCTGACGGCTTCTCTGGCGCCGCCCTGGCGCGGTCCACACGCCAGGGAGGGGGTGGGGCCCAGCGCCGATCCAAGAAACAAGCGCGGACCTCCAAAAAGTGCACTCCGAGTTTCGTCATGAGCGTCGGGGGGGCGTCACCCCCGCCAACAGCCCCACATCGACCCCCGTCGCGGGCAGCCACCGCGCGCCGAAGGCGCTCCGACCCCCGTCGCGGCGCGACGACGACGAGGCGAGGTTCACCCCCGTCGGGGGGGTACCCCCCCACGCTTGTCACAGAAGAAGAAAAAACAACATGATCATAAACTTTTGGCGCTCCGCGCGGGTTTCTTCCATCTGCGCCGGACCCCCCTCCCTGGCGCGCGGAGCGCGCCAGGAGAAGCGCCGGAGGCGCCGCGGGGGGGGCTCAGGCGCGGATCCAAGACATCCGCGCGGAGCCTCGAAAGTTCATGCTTATGTGGTTCTTTCTCCTTCGATACGAGGAAGCCCAGGGTGTGCTCCCAGACATCCGCGCTCGCGTCACTGCGCGGCACCACCGTGTTTTTTTGCCGTGCTCCTGCCGAGCTTTTCGGCTTCCCCGGGCGAGGGGCCGACCCTGCATCCCATGGCGCCCCTCTCTTAGTTTTTAGGTCTGGCGTGTCCTCCTACAGGCGGGTATTTTGGACGAGAACCGAAACATTGTCCACACATATGCACACACAGCCAACAACAGTTAAAACAAATAGTCCCCAGACTATTTTTGGACTATTTTTGAATCTTCCTCCTGTAGAGGCATGCCCGACTCGATCTTAGCTTTCGGGCCACCGTTCGGAGCCCCGGCGCCCGTTCGGGACTATGTCGGGCATCCTCGGCACGCCTCTGATGAGCCGCAGCTGCTGGAGACCACGCCGAGGCTAGACCACGGCGGAGAGCAGGCGACAACGTCCGAGAACCTGCCTGAAGGAGGAGGAGATGGAGGAGGAGGAGGAGGAGGAGGAGGAGAAGGAGGAGGAGGAGGAGGAGGAGGAGTTAGCCCGAGCCCGGCTTGCTTCTCCGAGCGAGAGAGGGCCCGCCGCCCCCCCGGGGCCACCGGGCCGTCGTTCAGGGACATGACGTCGGCCCCGCCACGCGTGCCCTCCTGCCAGCCGTCGCCGTTGCCCGCGCGCCTGGCAGGAGTGGCGCAGATCGCCCTCGCGGCGGCAGCGAGGGCGACGAGGGCGACGACGACGACAGCAGACGACGGCTGCGGCGGTGACGACGAGGACAGAGGACAACGGCGGCGGCGGCGGCGGCGGCGGCGACGACGACGACGACGACGACGACGACGACGACGACGACGGGCGCAGGTCGCTCGCGACGTCGGCGGCAGCGACGAGCGCAACGAGCACAACGGCGTGGCGAGTACGACGACGACGGCACGAGGGCGAGCACGACGACGCCGGCGGACTACGACGGACTGCCGCGACGACGCCGGCAACGACGGCGACACCGTCCCTGGCCACCTCCCGGGGCCTGACCTTTGCGCAGCCTGGGGCCTTGCCGAGCTCGGTCCTGCGCTCCTCCGCGCCCAGCTGCCCGGGCCACAGAGGCGGCACACACGATGAGGAGTCTTGCAACAAGGGGTCTGGGGGCAAATTCTTCCCCGCTTCTGAGCTTCCTGTGACTTACCATCAGAGCTGTCCCCACAACCCCTTGGGAGTGGCGAGGCGCCTCAGAGCTCTGCGGGCCCACCGGGAGACGAGGCGTCCTCGTGGGGCACCCGCTGGCAGGCCAGCCTCTCTCCTTGGGTGTGCCTGCTGCGTCGTGGCCCACTCGGCGGCGACGATCGGGGCGAATAGCCCAGGGGCGGGCATTACGAGTATTCGCCCGGGGGCCTTTCGAAGACGTAGACCATCGGCGCGCCTGGATACATGTGTTGCTCTCCCCTGGGCTATTCGCCCCTATCGTCTCCTCTGAGCCTGCTGCATCGTGGCCCACAGGAGACCCCTCGGGGCACCGGCGCCCGTCTCCGAGAGCCCTCGTCGAGCCAGCACCGCTGGTTAGGTCGGGCCTGTCCCCCTGCAGGCCGATTTTCGAGGACAAATGAAGAAGAGGCCCACCATATTCAAACATGGTTTCAAACATATCTTAAACATCGTCTCCAGATTATGTTTTTGACTATTTACTCCGCCTGTAGAGGGACAGGCCCGACTTCACCTTGGGTGTGCCTGCTGCATCGTGGCCCACAGGAGGCCCCTCGGGGCGCCGCCGCCCCTGTCTCCGAGAGCCCTCGCCGAGCCAGATCCGCGTGCTCAGCGCTCGTGGCACTCGGACTCGAGTTCGTCGCTGTCGGGGGGGGAGGAGGAGGAGGAGGAGGAGGAGGAGGAGGAGGAGGAGGAGGAGGAGGAGGAGGAGGAGGAGGTCCGTAGCCATTTGGCTCAAGCCACCTGGCTCAAGGCCATTGCCCGGGGCCTTCGCCTTCCCTGGGGTTGGGGCCCAAGTTGGTTGAGAGACCCGCACGACCCTCGATCAGCAGCCCTGCCCAGGGTGAGGGCCACACTCACGATTTCAGGATTCAGGCGTGTATCCCGTCAGCCAGACACAAGATCAGCCAGCCCTTGTCAGTTCGTGCAATGGCATGGGGGCAGCCTTGGCAGTATGGCAGAGGCAAAGGTCGCGCAGCAGATGCAGCAGGAGATAGTGAGCATGTATCGGACCAACCACGTGGCAAAGGCGTCCACACGTGGCGCTGCCAGGACTGTGGGTGCAAGAAGACGCCCTGGGCCCAGTGGTATTGTAAGCATTGCAGCAAGCCATGGAGCAGAGAAGAGGCTGTTGGAGGAGCCTGCCTCGACGTGGCAGACAACGACAGCCCGCCAGGGCTGGCACCGCGGGCGAAGGGATTGCAGCCCCCGCCTGGTATCAAGTGCAAAGAGTTGGAGTTGTCCAGCGAAGAGATCGACCACCTGGTCGCGCTGGCCAACAAGATCGGAGATCGAACCATGGAGAACAAGTACACGACCCTCCGCGAGTACAAGAGGCGGCTCGCCATGGAGCCCAAGGCAGTGCCGCTGCAGCTCCAGGCGCAGCAGGCACACCAGAAGGTTCAGCAGCTGGAGGCGAAGCTCAAGCAGGAGGTCGGCAGGTTCGAGGGCATGCAGGTGGCCCTCGAGGAGCAGACCCAGCGCGTGCAGGCCCTCAGCACCGAGCTGGAAGACGCAGACAGCAAGTACAAGGAGCTGCTGGACAACCTGCACACAGATGTGGTCGGAGCGCCGAGTGGACAGCCGCCCCGTGTGCCGCTGTCCAAGCTGCTCGAGGGGGACCTCAGCTGCTTTGACCTCGGGGAGTGCGAGACGCTCTTCGGGCTGGTTGACTCGAGGCTGTACGAGGTTACAGAAGATGACCAGAAGCAAGCAGCGGAGAGGCGTGAGAAGATGCAGAAAGGGATTGCTGAGTTGGCGCAAACCCTGTTCGGCTCGGCGAAGCAGTTCGCAGAGAAACTCAACAAGGAGCATGCGGAGCACGTCAAGAGGATGTCCACCAAGAAGCGGAAGACGGCCGAGGAGCCCGACGGCGAGCGGCGAGGCGGCCAGGGCGCAGGAGCCCAGGCCGCAGGCGGCGCCGCGGGCGGCGAGGCGACGGCCGCGCGGACGCAGCCTGGCGCCACGGCGGGCGCTGGCCATGCTGCTGCTGCTGCAGGTGGAGATTCTGACGGCCACAAAGACGGAATGGTCGATCGAGACCGTTCTGGAGCCTTCTTGCCGCCCGAGCCAAGCAACGTGCGACAGGCAGCACGGGCAGCGCTGGGGCAGAGCGGCAAGGGAGCTGCAGCAGGAGGCAAGGGCTTTGCAGGCAGCGCTGGAGGCGCCGCCGCAAGCCCAACGGCCGCAGGGGAGGGACGGTCGGGCGGGTAGCTGGGTGGGGGTGGCGGGCGGGTGGGGCTAGTTTCTGGCAGGCAGCGTTGAGGCCTCGGCCGCACGGCAGGTGCGGGAAGGCCTTAGTTTTGGCACGCCACCAGGGATCTTCTTTCTCCCTCCGCCGCTGCTCATGCCGCCACCGCCTCTCGGCCGTCCTCCCTTCTACTTTCCCCAGCAGGAACCAGTCTGTCCTGCTTGGGAGCCAACATTGCCTCAGCGTTTCAATTTAAGCAAGTCTCAGTCTCGGAAGCGTGAGCGCCAGCGAGCCAGTCCAGTTTCCAAGGCTGACCAGGGAGAGAGTTTTTTCTCTGTCGAGTCATGCAACGCGACCTGTTGGAAGTCGGCGAAGCAGTATCTTGAGGGTGAATGTCAGTCGAGCGTAGCAGTACTGCAAGAGATCACTGTTGAACCGAGCGAGCTGCAGGAGCGTGAACAAACACTGAGAGGTATAGGGTGGCAAGCCAGCCTATCACCGTCCGTGGTTACTGATGCAGGAGGGCTATCGTCAGGGGTGGCGGTGGCCTGCAGGAAGCACATAGGTCTGGGGATGCCTCCGACAGCAGTTCGAGACCTTCCTGCACCGCATCGGCAATCACTACGATGGGTCAACACGTTTGTTCCGGGCGGATTTATTCTAGGTTCGGTTTATCTTCCCGACGCTGATCCGCTAGGACCCGAAGGGAGTCGAATTCTCAGTCGTCTAGGAGAACGCCTCCACAGTTGGGGGTTGCCGTTCATCCTAGGGGGGGGACTGGAATGTTTCACCTGAGGTGTTCAAGGAGATGGGGTGGGCTGGAAAACTCGGGGGCCAGGTCATCCACCCAACCACCTATACGTGTAAGTCGACAGCCAAGGTTTGGAGGACAATCGACTATTTTGTGATGTCGGCAGGTCTTGCGGCGAATGTTCACTCGTGCCATATCAATAGGAAGGCGACCACCAAGCCGCATTGGCCTGTCGTTGTGCAGTTTAAGGGCAAGCCGATGGAGTACCTCGTTCGGGTGCTCAAAAAGCCTGCCGCGTTCCCCAATGAGGTAGTCATTGGCCCGATGCAGGAGCCCCGCGATTACCACCAGCTGCTGGCACAGGCGAGGCAGCGTGGTGACAGAGAGGCTCTGGACAGTTGTTTTACTGAGTTTATGGGGTTTCTTGAGGCGGAGCTGGGTGAGTATCACGGGGTCTCGGATCAGAAGAAGTACTTTGGACGGTCCAGGGAGCCCGAGTTCAGGATGGTTCCTGCTTTGAAGACCTCAGGAGGCAAGTATCCAGTAGGCTGCCCACGAAGCAGAGGATGGAGGAGAGTTGAGATTTGGTTCCAGGAGCTCGTGTACCTCAGGACTAGTTCTTCAGAGTGGGGGAAGGCTAGCACCATGGGGATCCTGGGGCAGATACGACGGGGTCCACACCAGCTTCGTGAGCAGCAGGATTGGGAAGGCTGGAGGCCTTCGCGAGAGCAGTTGATGAACGCGGATATCGAGCAGCTTCGACGCTGGAGCGAAGAGGCTGGCAAGGTTTCAACTTCACTGGAGAGATCGTTTGCATCAGAGCGGTCCAAGCAGTGGCGCGAGTGGGTTAAGCAAGCAGTGGCCAACGGAGGGGGCCAAGCCCACAAGTACAGCCAGGCCCCCATAGGTTGGATCCCTGAAGCCCCTGCAGGAGCCAAGAAGTCGGACGCCCCGAGAGCGCCCATGGGTCCGCAGGAGCAGGTAGACGACTTGTACGGCTATTGGCTTGGACATTGGGCCCCTCCTGAGGCTGCTAGGAGTTTTCCTGACCCCATCAAGTACCTCACGAGCGAGATCAACAAGCAAGCGCAGGAGCAGGGTTGCAGGATGGAGGATCTGGTGGGCCCCCCGAAGACCCCCAGTGAGATCAGAGCTGCAGCGAGGAGGTTTAAGCGTTTCACGGCGTGCGGGATCGACATGCTCAGGCCCAGGGACCTTGTCAAGGCCACGGATGGGATCCTCGAGGTGCTTGGTGAGCTTTGGGTTTGGATGGAGTGTCTTGGGACGTACCCCACCCTGATGCTGACCGCGGTCCTCGCGATGCTAGGTAAGCCCGAAGGAGGTTTTCGACCGATCGGCCTGCTCCCAACCCCTGTGCGTGTTTTCTCGAAGTTGGACCGACCTGAGATCCGTGCTTGGGAGGCCTCGGTCAAGAGGCCCTACAGGTACGGGATTTCGGGGAGGAGTTGCGAGAGAGCGGTGTGGGAGCAGAGCCTAGTGGTTGAGCAGCACATCAGTGCAGGAGGCTGCTCGGCATGTGGGCTCGTGGACCTGACCAAGGCATGCGAGAAGGTGAACCATTACCTTCTCGCACGAGCCGCAGTCAAGCATAGGTATAATCTGATCCGTCTTCGTTTGAAGCTGTCATTGTATCGAGGCAAGCGGATCATCAGCATCTTAGGAGTGTGCGCATTAGTGGCAGAAGTTGACCAGGGTATTCTTGCAGGCTGCGGGGAAGCGACCAGTTTGCTCAGCTGCCTGCTGCTGGACCCCTTAGATTCGACATGCGAACACTTTGGCAGCATTGGCATATACAACGTCGTCGATGATATCACGTTACAGTCGTCTGGTCACCCGTCGCAAGTGGAAGTCAGGCTGCCGAAGGCGATCTTTTACTTGTGCACGCTGCTTGAGCGGCTGCTGTTAGTGATCTCACAGTCCAAGGGCCTCGTGCTGAGCACCCACGCGAGCACGCGGCAGGTCATAGTCAGTAAGCTTCGGAAGTGGAACTTCGAGGGGGCGCTTTCTGGAAGGAATCTGGGATGTGACCAAACGATGGCTGCCAAGGGGGCCCGTGGTTCCAAGGTGTTGCAAGCTCGGCTGAGGCGCCTCAGGGGACGCAGTGGAAGGGTCCGCGGACTCAGGAGCTCTAGGAAAGGTATGATGCGGGTGGCCCGTTCTGGGGGACTTGCAGCTACCACGTATGGGGCGAGAGTCAACGGGGTGGCCACCACTAAGCTTCAGCAGATAAGGAGTGCGGTAGGAGCTGCTGTGTTTGGGACTCCCAAGGGCAGGAGCAGGACTCTGGAGTTTCTTCTAAGCGAGGAGCCCAAGGGAGACCCAGCATTCGACGCGAACCTGTCACCGCTCCTCACGTGGGGCCAGGCGGTCAGGAACAAGTGGGTGGAGCCCAAGGCGATGCAGCAGAGTTTCCAGTTTTTCAAGAACAAGCAGGATTTCGACTGGAGCCAGGTGCGAGGTCCTGCAGGTGCGGTCGTCTTGACCCTTAGGCGGATAGGCTTGGAACCGAGGGCCTGGAACCGGTTCGTCACCAACTCGGGGTTAGAGATTGACTTGGAGTATCTTGGAGGACGTTCTCTGAAGATGGTTCTGGAGAGGTTCGTTCGGGAACGCCTTGTCAGAAGCCTTGGGGACGGTCGCGTGGAAGGTCTCGACGAGGGGCCGCTGCTGGAACCAGTCATCGAAGTGCTCAGGGACCTCAGGGCCAAGGGCAGGTGGCAGGCGGCAGCGGGGCTCGCGGGAGTGGTCGCAGGCGGGTATCAGACCCAGGACAAGCTGTACCAGGACAGGCGTGTTTTGGACAACAAGTGTATGCTGTGCCAAGGTGAAGTAGGTTCTGCATTACACAGGTTTCGATGCCCAGCCCATCAGCCACGAATTCGAGATCTCGGAGTCCAAGAGCTGTTGGACACGCCCGTGCTGCCAGGAACGGAGGCGCTCCACACGAGGGCGCTTTTTCCAAGTGTCGAGTGGGCTTGGCCCACACCGCACCAGCGGGCAGGATTTCAGTGGGACGTGGTACCGCCGAACGGGGTGCTCGACCAAAGAGTGTGTCTAGACGGATCAGGATATGACCAAGATCAGCCTTCTCTAGCCCGCGCAGGGTGGGCGGTGGTCACCGTCACGGCCAGCGGGCACATCATTGGCTCGGCGTACGGGCCCCTGCCGCACATCGTGCAGCTCGCGGGGGCAGGGGAGGCGCACGCCTTCCTCATGGCGATTCGGTTGGCGGGCCCGCTAGGGCTCGATGTGATCACAGATTGCAAGATGGTGGAGGATATATGGGGGTTCGGGCCTGAGCAGAACCTGGAGGACGTTGCACATTCAGAGCTTTGGAGGGAAATATTTCGGCTAGCAGGGGATCTCGGACGTGATCTGATTTCGGTACGTAGGGTTAGGTCTCACCTCTCCCTCGGTCAGGCCCGTAGGCAGGGGGTGTGTGAGTGGGAGTGGAGAGGCAACAAGCGGGCAGACGAGCTCGCCAAGCTTGGGGCCCAGGCTCACCCCACCAACCCCTTGGTAAAGGCTCAGCTTAAACACAGTTTTAATCTAGTCAAACAGTCGGCCTGGTTGATTGCCGAGGTCATGAGTGACCTCTCGGCTAAGAATTTCCCAGATGTGGCGCGAGTGCACAGGCCCCGTCGGCCCAAGCCACAGCAGCTGCAGTTGATTCCAGAGCCCAATGGGCATTGAATTGAGAAGTCTGGCAAGCAATACAGATGTGCGACGTGCGGCGAGAGAGGCCGCTCGAGAGCGCACATCTCCTTGACGCCTTGCGGCGGTCCGCCGAGAGTTGCGAGGACGGCGCACCAGAGTCACAGGCTCTGGCTGGGGGGGGGGCGGGTGGCCTGGTGCGTGCGTTGCGGCGCGTTCGGGTCCGCTCGGTCTCGGCTCCTTGGGACTCGTTGTGGAGGGGGTCCTCGCAACCGTGACGCCGCTAATGGTCTCAGAATGCTCAGGAATGGAGTGGACCCCAGCTCGAAGACGAGCTTTGGGAGGTCTGTTCCGCTCAGATGGCAGGCTCAAACAGGTTGGTCGTCCGCACCTGTCTGAGCCCCATCTCCCAACACTTGCCTCTCTGCACTGTGTTTTTTAGGCTGCCTTATCGCTCAGCGGTAACGGACAGCTAATGAGTCAATCGGAGTCAATAGGAGGAGGAGGAGGAGGAGGAGAAGGAGGAGGAGGAGGAGGAGGAGGAGGAGGAGGAGGAGAAGGAGGAAAAGAGGAGGAGGAGGAGGAGGAGGAGGAGGAGGAGGATGAGGAGGAGGAGGAGGAGAAGGAAAAGAGGAGGAAAAAGAGGAGGGGGCAGATTTCCCCCCCCGCCCCGCCGAAGAGCCCACGACGAGCTGGCGCGGTCGTGTGCGCGCAGCTGGGAGGCGCACTCGGGGCCGCGGCCGCTCTCCTCGAGGCGGAGGAGGAGGATGAGGAGGAGGAGGAGGAGGAGGAGGAGGGGAGGAGGAGGAGGGGAGGAAGGAGGAGGGAGGAGGAGGAGGAGGAGGAGGAGGAGGAGGAGGGAGGAGGACGATGAGGAGGAGGACGAGGAGGAGGAGGGGAGGGGAGGAGGGGAGGGGGGGGAGGGGGAGGAGGGGGGGGGGGGGGGAGGAGGAGGAGGAGGAGGAGGAGGAGGAGGAGGAGGAGGAGGAGGAGAGGAGGAGGAGGAGGAGGAGGAGGAGGAGGAGGGAGGAAGGAGGAGGAGGAGGGGGAGGAGGGGGAGGAGGAGGAGGAGGAGGATAAGGAGGAGGAGGAGGAGGAGGAGGAGGAGGAGAAGGAGGTGGAGGAGGAGGGGGAGGGAGTTGGAGGGGCTGGAAGTTGGAGCAGGGCTTTCGAGGAGGAGGAGGAGGAGGAGGAGGAGGAGGAGGAGGAGGAGGCGTGCGCGGGGCCGCGGCCGCTCTCCTCGGCTGCGGCCGCGCGGCTCGAAGAGGACTTCGAGGTGCGAGGGCTCCAAAACGTGTCTAGAGGGGCCTCACAGGCTGTCCGGACAGGCCACGCGGGGGACGATTGCTGCAGCCCCAGGGGGTCGGCGGTGTGGCGCAAGCCAATGAATTTCCAAACAATCACAGAGAATCGTCAAAACTGATCGACAAATCGTCGCAACACTATTCTTTGACTATTTTGGAATACTCCTTCTATATCGGGGCACGCCCGACGTAAAGGTCGTCGGACGCTTCCGTCGGCCCTCGGCGGCCTTCCAGCCTCGGGACGCACTCCGGCAGCCGCGCCCCGCCGAGAGCGCTCTGCGGGGTGCTCGGGGACTGGTGAGCCCGGAAGCCCCCAGAAAGAGGCGCGTGCGCGCGCGGCCTGCTGGCCTCAGGTCGGGCCTGTCCCCCTGCTTGGGCGAAGCGTTGCAAAAAAAGCAGCCACATATACTGCCAAAAGTGTTCCAAAATAGCTGAAACATCGTCCCAAGACTATTTTTGACCAATTCGATTCCTCCTGTAGAAAGACAGGCCCAACGTAGTGCTGGTCTTCCTTCCCGTGAACGGCCGGCAGCCCCCGCCCTGCCTGCTCTCTGCGGCGCGCACAGGGGCGGGTGGGCCGGCGGGACGGGTCAGGCCGTCGGCGGCCCATGGGCAGGTCCACAGAGCAGTGGCGTGGTACAGCACTTCTGGCAGCGCGCGCCTGGGCGAAGAAGGCGCTCCCCAGGAAGTCGCCATTGCCATGCAGACTTCGCGGCTTGCGCGACAGCGGGGCAGGGCGGGGAGGAGGCCTTCCAAGAGGGCAAGGGGGCCTCTCAGAGGCCGTCCCGTCTTCCAGGAAGCCTCCTCAGAAGCCTCCGGTGCTCCCTCAGAAACGCCCACTGCCTCTCAGAAGGCTACCGCCCCTCGAGTCCACGGCCCTTTTATGCGCGCCGTCAGGGGGCTTCCTCCACCTGGCGGGTTTCGGAGACCCTGAGCCTCTACACTGTTGTCATCTCTTGGTAGAGGTCTCCCAGATGGGGTCGGAGTAGATGAGGTCGAACGATCGCGCCGCATCGCCGATACATCGGCGATGTATCGGCGATGCATCGGCGATGCACCAGCGATGCACCAGCGATGCATCGGCGACGTCGGCGATGGGGAGGCGTGGTCTCGTCTGCAACGCCGCACCAGGCATCCCTGCCTTGCCCAACTCTCCCTTGGACGATTTTGGACACCCTGAACCCAAAATCGTTGACATTTCTTGGGGGCACCTCTTTTACTTCCACCGCCTTCCGCCGAGCTTCCGCCGCCCTTCCGCCGAAGAGATGACAACTCCTTCGATTCTCGAAGGCAAGGCCTTTTTTGGAACGCCTCATATCCCCCACACTCGTGTCCGGGTGGCCTCGTGCGCGGCTCGCGGGCGATCAGCTTCATGGCCTCGTCCATCGGGATGTCGGGCTCGGGCTCGAACTCCACCAGGGGGAGGCACTCGAAGCCGAGGAAAGTCCTCCCCGTCGCCGATTCAAGTTTGGGGTTCGAATGTTGAGTCGTTTTGGACGGCCTGTCCCGCGAAAAGCCCTCTCGGCGTCCTCGTCCTGGCTCTTGTTCTCGTCGTCATTGCCGTGCTAATTATCGGTGTCGTCGTCGTCGTCGTCGTCGTCGTCGTCGTCGTCGTCGTCGCGGAAAGAATATGCAAGGCAGAAGCAGGGAGAGGAAGGTGATGCGTGGAGGGGAATGTGCTGTCTTGAAGAATGTTGCCTGGCCCTCCGCGCCGTCCTTCGCCTCTACTCGTCTGGCTGTGAAGCTCCCCAAGGTTCTCAGACGACATGGAATACGACACGTCTGCATGCACAGAACCTTCCGGACAACCGCGCGGACTTCTTGGATCGGCGCTGGAGCCCGCGAGCGACGGGGTCAAGGGTCCGGGTCATGATTCTTTTGAAGGGGCCCTGGGGCACACAAATAAATAGACACAACTAACAGGATTCCCAATATTCTGGGTTCTTGTCTCCTCCCCCCCCCCCACTTCCCATACCTGCCAATATTTTCTGGGGGATCGACGATTCATTGTGTCTGTGCGTATTTTTCCCTCCTGAATGATTCTTCATTCTGCTGCAACTTGCTCGAGACGGCGGATCTCCGAATGCCCCCGCGACGGCGGAGAGAGAAAGCGGGCGGCTCGTGGCCTCCCTGCTTGTCTGGGCGGCCCCCCCGGGCCTGGAAGGCGCGTGCAGGAAGGCACGGGCTGGCCACTCGGCTGGCCACTGTGCGTTTTTCTGCGCGGGCCCTCCAAGCCCTGGTCGCCCGAGGAGGAGGAGGAGGAGGAGGAGGAGGAGGAGGAGGAGGAGGAGGAGGACGAGGAGGAAGAAGACCAGTGTAAACCCAAGGCTGATCAACGATGTTGCAAAAAAAGCCTCCCTCCGACTTCCGTTTTCACAAGGCCCTGCCAACATCGATACTGCTTGCGGGAAAAGCCCATTAGAAGACAACCGTCTGATGATCTTCAACCGTGCCAGAACATCCTGGGACTTCAGCGCCGCGAATCAACGCGACTGTTGCGCCCTGACAATCCTACATCGTTTCGCATCGAGCTAAAACACCATCCCAGGACGCAAACACTGCGCATCACCGTGTCTGGTGCGTCCCGAGAATCCCACATCATGCTTCGACACCGCTCCTGGAACTCAACACCACACTGATCTTTGAAAACGCGGAAAATTTTGAGGACGAGTGTGCGCGGCGCTATGGCGCGGGCAGCCTTTTGGAAAGGGCCCGCCCTGCATCCTTGAAGCCGGCGCAGACCTCTATGATCAAATCGCGCGGCGCTCAAGCGAGAACCGCACTTTGAGAGCGGCCATGCCCTTCACCCGTGAAGCTGTTGCAAGCTTTGAAACGGATGTGCGCGGCGTTAAAGCGAGAAACATAGGCTGGCCCTCCATCAGTGAAGCTGTTGCATTTATCGCATTTCGAGGTCCTAGATGGTTCAGAAGTCGCAAGCGCCCGCCCTAACAACACGTCTGGGGGTGCGACAACAAGGAATCATGTAGAGGGAAAACGGATGGACGAGGAGGGGGAGGAACGGAGGAAGAGGATGCGGAGGAGGAGGAAGAGGAGGAGGACGAGGAAAATAATAAGGAGGAGGAGGAGGAGGAGGAGGAGGAGGAGGAGGACCCGAGTAAACCCAAGATGCGTCAACCAATGCTGCAATACATTCTCCCCCGTCCCAGGTCCCGTCCCCATAATTCCAACGAGCTCTTCTTTTCCACTGCGGGCGCATCCCTTTCAATGACGAGCGGTCGGTCGGTCCGCCAGTCAAACGAGGGCGCGTGATTGAAAGGATCTTCCCTCCACACGACGGGCCTCCAGGGTAACTCGATTGTGAAAAGCACCTCCATCCGTTCAAGCGTTGCAGGATGTTAAATGTAGTGGGCGTCTGCTGCGCGGAAATCCCACTCGAGAGCCCGCCCCCCCAAAAAAAACCAGGGATAACCTCAGTGTGAAAAGCACACAACTTCCATCCGTCTACGCGTTGCATGATGTCAAGGTCGTGGACGCATGCGTTGCGCCGCAGAAGTCTCACGCGAGAGAGCCCCGTTTCGAACGAAGGGCCACCCTCCATCCTTCTCAGCTGTTGCACAATGTGGGGCGCCTGGTCGTGGGGGTCGATGAAGAATCACGCGATTGTAGATGATGGAATGTGTATTGAATGTGCGCGAAGCCAAGGGGAGAGCCTAATACAGTGGGGGCGTTCCTTAAGACATGTGGCCAGGAGGCTGCGGACCTTGAGCGATTCCTTCCCTGATGAAGGCAACGGTGATGTCCATGTCCGATCCACGACTGGAGTTCCACTGGCTTCCAAACCCATGTTTTTTGTATCTAAGGTTTCCTTGTCCAATGCCACCACCGTCTTGGGAAACGGCTCGCCATGCACTCGCGCAGTGAGGGGCAGCTTGGAAACCGAATATGCACGGCCAAGGCGAAAACCTCCTTTTGAAAACGACCCGCCCACTTTCTACTCTTTGGTTGTGTAAGGCGACGGCGTGAAGCGCCAACAAAGCGATAACCCCATTGTGAAAACCGTTCGTGGTCCACGCGTCAACGCGATCTGCTCCTTGAGGCCTCCTGCGGCGAAGAAGACGATGAAGATGAATATGTGGATGCTGTTGCTTCTGGTTGCGGCGGCGAACCTGGGAACGATTGGGGGGGGGGATTGCAGCGTCTGGGGGTGTCCTGGAGCGTCAGGGGCAGCCAGGGGAGCGCTTGGGTTCACAAATCGGAATCGGCGACGGGTGCCCGAACCGTACCGATTTGTTCTGCAGGTGTTATAACATTGTGTTTTGCCTTTTGTGCACAGGGGCTCTTTGGGGCCAGGGGGTTGGTCGATGTTGAAACCAGCATGTGCGCACCAAAACCACATGTTTACATCGGATGGTGAGGGTTGGGCTGGATATGCATCGATTCCATTTTGCTGCGTAGGGTGATGAGGGCAGTGTCGGATGGATTTGCACAGAAAACTACTTTTAGCATCGGATGATGAAGGTTGGGCCGTATGAGCGTGCACCTAATACTATAGCTTGCGCCGGATGGTGAGGTTTGGGCCGGATGGATGTGCACCTAATGAATTTTCGCTGTGCCGAATAATAAAAGGTTGGGTTGTACGATACAATTTGTTACCAAGGATGGTCAGGGTTGGGTCGTGTGGGTGTGAGCAGGCGTGTACTTTGTGCATATGCTGGTGAAGGTTGGGACAGATGGATATGCACCGACTGAGTTTCTGTGCGTCAGATGAAAAGGTTTGGGTCGTATGGCTGTGCATGGGGCGAGAGCAACGTTTTGAACAAACACTATCATTGCTTGAAGCTGCTGCACGTGTGTAATACGAATGTGCACAACATTCAAGCGAGAGACACATTTTGAAAGCCAGCTGTGCGCGGCGCTAGGGCAAGAACATGTTGACACTCACCCGGGCTCCACTCGTGAAACTGTTGCCAGGGCTTACCACGAATGTGCGCGGCGCTAAGGCGAACACGACGTTTTGAAACTAATCCAAGCTATATGTTTGCAACTGCTGCAAATTTTCAACTTCCAAATCATACTTGGCGAAACAGTCTCAGGCGAAACGCCTGGCCGGGCATACGGACATCTCCAGTGTTGCGATAGGGAGGAGCTGTCTACCATGGGGAGGAGCGGATGAGTCGCCGCTTGCTCCTTCCGAGCGGCGCGCGTCCCCGGCAGCACGCAGTGCTGCCGATTCAAATCCCGATCTCTGGCACGATAAGAAATTCACCCTTCTCGATCCTCCCCACCTGGTCGGATTCTTCCACCTTCGCCGTGGTCGTCGGGGATCTTCTGACCCGGGTCAATCCAGACCCGGGTCAGCAGGAAACCAAAAACTGCAATGCAGGAAAAAAAACTGCAACGCAGGTCTTCGCAAACCCGGGTCAACCAATATGCGCGGCCGCCCCGCGGCCACGAGCGGCTCGCTAACCCGGGTCAGCCAGAGGGCGTCTTCGCAGGATCCTGCAGGATCTGGCGCTCTGGCTGACCCCCGTTTACACTGACCCCCGTCTCTTAGGCCCCGAGGCCGAATCTGCACGCCCTTTCCGGGCCTGAATGTGAGCTCGCCGTCGGAGGCTGCCGTGCCGCGGCGGCGACGCGACACCATCGATGACACGGGCGGGGCTCGGCCGAGGAGCGCCGCCTGCAGCAGGCTGCCGCCGCTTCGCAAGAGCGCTGCGTGGGCGAGCTCGTCCCACCCGTACGCAAGGAGGAGGAGGAGCAGGAGGAGGAGCAGGAGGAGGAGGAGGAGGAGGAGGAGGAGGAGGAGGAGGAGAAGCAGGAGGAGGAGGAGAAGCAGGAGGAGGAGCAGGAGGAGGAGGAGGAGGAGGAGGACCCAAGGAGGAGGAGGAGCAGGAGGAGGAGGAGGAGAAGCAGGAGGAGGAGGAGGAGGAGGACCAGTGTAAACCCAAGGCGCATCAACGATGTCGCCATAAAGCCTCCCTCCAGATTCCCCCCCCTCACCAGTCCCTGCAATAATGAATGTTCATTGCGGGAAGTGTCCCGTTGGAAAACAACCGTTTGAGATCTCTCAATCGGGCCGAGACGCAGTTGCTGGGAATTCAGCCTCGCGAGTCAACGCCACTATCGCGTCCTGGCAACCCAAAATTGTTTCAGAGCACCACTCTCAGTACTTCAGCGCAGCGGATCAAAGTGATTCCTGCATCCTGACAGTCCTCAATGGCGCTCCAGAACACCAGTCCTGGGATTCGGTCGGGCATGTCCCCCCCGCAGGCGGATTTTGGAGGGCAACTTGACGATACCCCCAACATGCTCCAACATATTCAAACATAGCAGAAAACACCGTCCCCATGTTTTTTTTCGGCTGCTTGTGAACACTCCTCCTGTAGAGGGGCATGCCCGACTTAGCCCTGGGACTCTTCAACCATACGGGTTCTTGGAGCGGTGGCACACGCTTGCAACGAACGTGGGCTGCGGTCGTGCAGGAGCCACAGTTTGACGAGGAGCCGCCCTTAGTCCATGAAGCGGTTGGATACGGTCAAAACGAATGTGCGCGGCGCTACATTGACGAGCGCGTTCCACTGCTCGCGAAGGAACTGCTCGCAAATGGCCTGGAACCAAACAAAAACACACCAAAACACCAAACACACACACACACGTATTGTTGGTGTTTTTTTTGTGTGTTTCGTGTGTGTGTGTGTGTGTGTGTTTTGTGTGTGTGTGTGTGTGGGTGTTTGTGTTTTTCCCCGCGGGGGATCTACGATACATTCCATCGAAGCAGACATCTGTGATCGCACATTTGCGACTAGGCACTCTGCGAGTAGTGGAACGTGCCCAATGACTAAAACAAAACCCGCATGTTGAAATGGAGCAGCCCTCCATCCGTGAAGCGTTTGCGAACTTTGAACACGAATATGTGCGACGCTGAGGCGAGATCCACATTTTGAAAACGGCCCACTCTCGATCGGTCAATCTGTTCCAAACTTCAGGGATGGAGGAGGAGGAGGACAATGAGGAGGAGGAGGAGGAAAATCAGGGGGGGTAGGGATAGAGGAGGAGGAGGCAGAGGAGGTGGGGAGTGATGAGGATGAGAAAGGAGAGAGGGAGGAGGAAGAGGAGGAAGAGGAGGAGCAGGAGGGATGAGGAGGAGGGAGGAAGAGAAGGGGGAGTGATGAGGAGGCTGAGGGCAGGAGTGCGTCGCGAGACTGGTGCCCCTCCCTCTTCCTTAAGAACGGGTGGCCGCAGTTCACGCAGCTGTCCAGGTTCGACCGCAGGAGCGGGTTCGTGGTCATGCACCAATTGCACACGGGGAGGAGGTCGTCCTGCAGGAGAGACGGTGGATGATGGATTCGTGGGAACACATGGAGAACGACGGGGAGAACGAGGAGGATGGACGAGCAGGGAATCGGGGAGCAATTGCGCATTTTTGGGTTCTTCTTGGGCCTCCGGGCTTCTCGAGCAGAGGGGAAGAGGTTGCGAAGGAGGAGCAGGAGGAGGAGAACAGGATGAGGTAGGAGGAAGAGGTAGGAAGAGGATGATGAGGGGAAGGTGAGGAGGATGGGGAGGACACGGATGAATACAACGAGGGGGAAGCGGATGAGGACAAGCAGGCGGAGGATCAGGAAGATCATAAGAAATGCCCCCAGCAGTGCTTGCACTTAGGCTTTTCCGTCTTCTCTTTGAAGGAACTGGGCCAGCGGTCTCGCGGCTCCGCGCCGGCCGTCGCCGCCCCGTCGCCGCTCGTGGCCGCCCGTCGTCGGCGTGGGCTGGCCGGTCTGGTGGCTCCGTGCTGGCCGTGGCCGTCCCGTCGTCGTCTCGTCGCCGTCCGTCGCCTGGATTCGTGTGTCGGTCTGGCGGCTCCTTGCCGGCCGTCGCCGCCCTGTCGCCGCCTCGTCGCCGCCCGTCGCGGCCGTTGGACTGCACCACATCGATTGTACCATAAATTCGCGCCTGCGGCTCACAATATGGACTGCACCACATCTAGTGTACAACGTAGGGTGCACAACGTAGACTGCAAACCATTTGTTGCACAACCACATGGATTGCAACATATAGTTTGGACAACATATCTTACACAACACAATTTGCACAAGCACATCGATTGCACAACATCTATTGCACAGCGTAAGTTGCACCACACCGGTCGCACAACACAGATTTCACCACATAAATTGCACCGCCTAGCTTGCACCACGTATATTCCCCCGCATCGGTTGCAGCGCAAATATTGAACGATTCTATTCTTGCGCCTGCGGTTCGCTTTTCCGATCGCTCACAACATGTATTGTACTACATATGTTGCACGGAAGAGATGGCACCGCGTGTGCAGCACAACGTATATTCCACGGCATGGATTGCACCACCTATACCGCACTGTATGTTTTGCGCACCATAGGTAGCACCACATCTGTTGCACTACATGCGTTGCCAGAGCGCACTGTCTGGGGCCCACGCTGGCTGACATAATTGTTCTGCAACTCCAAATGCGCATGGGGGGGGGGGGTAACACGTTGGGCAAGAATACAGGGCTACCAGGAACCGGACACACCCCCTCCAGGAGGGCCAAGAAAACGCCACCAGTAAGAGGAAGAGAAGGAAGGGGAGGCAAGGATGAACAGGACTGACCAGAAACGAGATGGAGGAGAGGGAGGAGGAGGAGGAACAGGAAAGGAAGGAGGTCGATCACATCACTAGGAGGAGACGGCGAACATGGGATGACGATGATTATTTGAGCCATGCGGATCGGAGGAAGCCATGCGGATAGGCGGAAGCCATGCGGATAGGAGAAAGTCATGAGGACAAGAGAAAGCGACGCGGATCGGGGGAAGCCATGCGGATAGGAAGAATCCGTACGGATAAGAGGAAGCCAACGGAGAAAGCCACGCGGATACACGGAAAGCCACGCGCATAGCTTGCCTTTTGCAAGGGCAAGATAGAGCTAGGGGGGACTAAGGGGCCAGCTCTCTAAGGATGAAGCTCTGTTTCCTACTTTTTGGAGAATCTGTTTCTGAAGCGCTGTACCTTGAAATGCCCCGAACAACATAATGGTTCTGAACGGATTTCGACACGCGCGCGTGGCGGCGCGCGAGTGGCCCCCTGCTGGGAAATCGGTTTCGGTCTCGTGTTGGTGTCGCGCGTGCGGGCGAGGCGACGCGGTGCGGGCGTGCGAGAGGAATGACCCCGCCGTCGCGAGGGCGATTCGGATGCAGCGGACCACCCCTTCAACCCCTGGTGGGCGCGCGGCGGCCCCGGGTGTCCCGCCGTGATGTCCTGTGGTGTCGCGTTGGTGTCCCGTTGGTGTCTCGTCGGTGTTCCGTCGGCGGTGGGCGGGCGGTGGCCAGGGGTGTCCCGCCTTAGTATCGATGGTGAAGTCGATGAAGAAATCGATAATGAGATCGCTAGAATGGGACGGATCGTGAGATCAGACATGAAATCCCACCAGCCCTCTGGGCGTCGGTGGTTTAAAGCGTTTCCTCTTCCACCCCTCCCTCTTCCCCTTCGGGGAGGGGTTTACCCCTCCCCCTACCCCCTCCCCACTGACCTGGACAGGAGGGGCGGGGAGCGGTCAGAGCGTCCAAAACGGCCTCGGCGAGGAAGCCAAAATCATTGATTTTACTATGGTTTTGGCCCCATTTTGGCCTTCTGAGGGGGGCAACGCTAATTAAGGCTCCCCTCTTCTTTGATCGATTTCCTCCACGATGGCCGCAAGAGGCCCCCAGGATGCCCCAAGAGGCCGCAGGATGGCCCCAAGATGGCCCCAAGAGGCCCCCCAAGAGGCCCCCAGGAGGCCCCCAAGAGACCCCCAAGAGGCCCCAAGAGACCCCCCAGAGGCACCCAAGGGGCAAAGATGGCCCCAAGAAGCGCCCAGGAGGCCCCCAAAGGCCCCAAGATGGCCCCAAGAGGCCCCAAGAGGCCCCCAGGAAGCCCCAAAGAGGATCCCGAACGGCCCACAGAGGCCCCCCCGAGGCACCCAAGACGCCGAAAAGCCCCTCAGGACGACGCTCTACTCGCCTGGGCGTCGTTTCTGGACGGGCATTTTTTTTATTTATAAAATTATCCCGGCAAAGCAACCTAACAGCGATGTGTAGAAGCATATCTGAAAGCATTCCCCTTAAGATTCAGACGAAAATCCAGTTGTCGAATTCTGCTGTTCTCGCAGTCGTAGTAGCATTCGC